AAATCTGATGTCCTCAATCTTAGTACGCTTTGGTGGATTTTGATATACAAGAAGTTCAACGTAACCCAGGATTGTGTGCTTGCAGCCCACAAAGCCAACCATATCCTGAGCTGCATCAAAAGAGGAGTGGACATCAGGTGATCCTGTCCCTCTCCACTCTCTTGAAATTTCACCTGTAATACTGCTTCCAGCTCTGGGGGCCCCAACATAAGAAGGACCTGTTGAAGCAAGTCCAGAGAAGGGCCACTAAGATGATTAAAGGGCTGGAGCACCTCTCCCATGAAGACAGACAGAGTTGGGGTTGTTCAGACTAGTGAAGAGAATGCTCTAGGGAGACCTTACTGTGGCCTTCCAGTACCTAAAGGGGGCTACAGGAGAGTTGGAGAGGGAATTTTTACAAGGGCATAGGACAGGAGCCAAAGGCTTTAAAGAGAAAGAAGGCAGATTTAGAATACATATTAGGAAGAAATTCTTTACCATGAGGGTGGTGAGGCACTGGCACAGGTTGCCCAGAGCAGCTGGGGATACCCCAGCCCTGGAATTGTTACAGGCCAGGCTAGACGGGGCTTTGAGCAACCTGGTCAAATGAAAGGCGTCCTTGCCCATGGCAGGGTGGGTGGAAATAGACGATTATTAAGAATCCTTCCAACCCAAACCATTCCATCATTCTACAGTTTTCTTTCTCATATCTCTTTGGTCTCCTCTAAGGTTGTGCAAACCATTACATCTACATCTTCTGTCAAGGAATTCAATAGCTCAGTTACATTCTGAGAGCAGAACTACACCATTTTATTTACTTTAAAATTGCCTCCCGGTAGCTTTACGTCTGCTACATGCCAGACTTGTACTGGCCAAGGCAGCAAACTCTTGATCTTCCTTTGCCCCTTTCATCCATCATTCAAAGCTCTAAATTGGAAATACTGCAAAGGTCTGAACCCATCAAATGTGATCCAGCTGGTAGGTGGGTGAACTGCAAAAATCAACAAAATCCCTCATAGAAGACAAACACAATTTGTGAAGTCATGATCTGCAATGTCAGACATAGCTAAAATCTCTGGGATTTCTCAAGAGTCATAAGGAAAAACCACGAACTCTGATATGAGCCAATAGCACAATTCTGCTTAGTTCAATACTTCAACAAGCTGGACATGGACAAAACAGGGTAGTGGGATTAACTCTCACTGTTTTGTACCAGTCTCTGTTCTCAGGATACAGCATGACAATCAATACATCAGTTTGCTCAGACAAACATAAATGCTAGAATATTCATAGAGTATACTAAAATAGCCAGACCCTAAGGACACTGAGGACATTTATGCAAGTTCTTAAAAAAATTAACTCCAGCTAGTGCTGACCTACATTAAATCCATACCCTTTTTGCTGTTCTACCAGTATACCTTCCCTGCCCCTCTACAATATTTTTTATAACCAATACAATAGGCCTTGACTACATATACCTTAAAGCAGGGATTGTTGCTTGTCTGTTTCAACAGCTACAAAAGGAGCCTCATATGATTACGGATCCTGGAAAACTTCTGGAAATCTTGTATCTTAAGTTTTGTTGTATTTATCAGCCAATAAAACTAGCTATACTTCCAACGCAATAACTGTTTCTCTGGCTTGAAAATGGCAGAATCCAGATCTCAGATATCGTCACCACTGAGTTTCAAGCTAGTACTTAAATAAAGAATTCCTATTTTATTCCTCCTGACAATCATTCTTCAGTTAGTTTCACTTTTGAAGTATAATTGATCTATGTTAAGTGCTTGAAAGAGGATAAAATCAAATGTGCATTTAGCAGCTTTATGTAGTCCCATGTTGTAACGTAAGAACTTCGTGCCTTTAACCAAAAATTGCTGATTTTATTAGTTCAGTGTTTATCAAAGTGCTTACACTGAATTTCAAATATTCCAACACACATATAGTCAACATGTGAAGCTTTTATTATTGCAGCATCAGAAAATGAAGGAAATGTGATCTACAGGCAATTTGAGTGTTGCATATTTGTGTCTGCAGTCAAACACCTACATTCACAATTGGTAAAATTTTAATACTGAGTTCACACTAAATTGTCTGTCTACATTCTCAAAGCTTAGGCAAAATTATACTCAATTGCTGCCCATGTAGTTTTCATTTAATGCACTTGCACAAACCTAATTACATGTGCTCTTACCTGAGAATGCACTTCTTTACCATTCTCAACAGACTACACAGGCTCAGAGCAGCAGCCTCTGGGTATTTTTATTGGGGGGGGGGGGGAGGTCACACTTTATATTGGCACAAATGCTTGGTTTTCACAGCTTCTGTCACCACTGACAACACTTACAGGTAGGTGCAAGCAACGCCATAAACAAACAAGAGCTACATACACATATTTGAGTTTAAATCACTTGGTCATCATCATCTAGGAACAAGCAGTGCCAATTCTCATTTCTCTCTTCCTTTAGCTGAGTGTGTAATTTCCTACACTCCTTTCACACTTAACACAAACCAGCCTCCAGGCACTAAACAACACTGGTTGAATCACCAAGCACTGTTTATCACAAGCACTAAACAAATAGGATTTTTGTATGGAAAAAGTGATGTAAAATGATAATATGCAAAAGGAACTCAAATTTAGTTTAAGCAAACTTGTTTCACGTATGTCTTGATCCCTAAATATTTTGACTGCAACCATAGCATCATTCATGATACTGCAGATACTGAAGGTTCAAATGGGCATAACCATCAGGGATGCTTCATAGAAGGAAAATACATGAGGTCCTGTTAAATAATACACCATCACCCCTGGCTCTGGATCTCTCTGAACTGTGAATCATTAAAGGCTGGAAGAAGCTGGAACAAGTTGCCCAGAGAGGTGATAGATGCCCCATTCCTGGAAACATTCAAGGTAAGGTTGGGCAGGGATTTGAGCAACCTGATCTAGCTGAAGATGCCCCTGTTCAGTGGGGTGGGAGGGATTTGGACTAGGTAAGCTTTAAAGGTCCCTTCCAAACCAAACTGTTCTAAGACTATATGGTAAATGCTTTGGGGAGGTATCACTATGTTTCTGCACTGTTCTTATCTCAAGGCATCTACGATTGATCACCACCGAGGACAGGATACCAGTTTAGATGATCTCTGGTCTGACCCAGTATCACGTCATCTCTTCAAATGGTATCATGTAGAGTAGCAACACTGGTACAATCTTGCCTTTTATAAGTGGTTTACAACTATCTCAGCAATAAATACATAAATCTAACAATTTATGGCATAAGAAATTCTAAACTTTGACAGTTCCCTACCAATGTAAAAATGTGGAGAAATTTTTTTAAGTACCTAAATCAAATGATTTCTGAATGTTATCTCATTTACCTCCTTTACTTACTTTGTAACTACAAATAAATCTTATACATTTTTATTACATGAAATAATACCCAAAAGGGTCTTGTTATGCTATAATGCTACATAAATACATAACAGACATCATCTTTGCCTCAAACTTACTTGTTGTAGGCCAAGATAAAGTAGATTAACAGAAAAATGGAGCACTCAATAACCTGAATTACTTGAGAGGTAGTTTGGAAAAGGTCATCTGAGTTCCACAATGATTTTGAGAAAAAAAGTGAATAAGCAAATAAGCGCAAGTGATGGCTGAGAGTCCTCCTTTACATGCCCTAGGGTAACCAGCCACCATCACTCAGAAACCCAATTTGCAACCAGCTGAATTCTATCAAATGGGTTTAACACTCATCTTGTCAGCATATTTAAACAGCCCACAGCAATTCATTCTTCTGGCCAAAGCAAAAATACGAACAACTAAATACATCTGACACATTTGCAGAACAAGGAGGAGGCAGCAGGAGTGAAAAGCTTACCTGCTTTTCAATCATTCAAAGACAAACCAAAACAAATAAATAAACCACAAAACCCAAGCAAAACCATGGGTGCATCCCTGAAACTAAAAAACAACTAAATGTAAGTATCAAAATTCTGATTCGTTTAGCAGTTAAGCTCTCAAGATCTGCTTTACACGGACATCGCACAGCAATGAGTCTCAGTTTCCAAGTGGTATAAAACACTAAACTCTAGGAAGTAGCCCTTCATAACCTTAAAGCAGCACCACAATTAACAGAAAATCAGACTGAACAGGTTTTACCAAGTAACTGAGAAAAAATGCAAGCAATAAAACACATCTTGGATTCAGTACAGGTCTGCAGACTGCAACCTATCTAACAATAGTCTTTTGACATGGCTAAGACAGCGTAATAAAAGGCATCTTAATTTTACAAACTTTCCCCACTACAGAAAACAAAACCCAAACCCTACTCCTAGCCAGACACAAAGTATAGACTTCTGACAACATTTGATGCTGAAATGTAATTCAAATAAAAGTCAAATATTACAAAAAGCAAACATTTCCACATTAAAAGTGTCCAAAAAATTACTTTCAAGTAGACATTTTGAAACCTACTAGCATTAGTCTCATGTTAGCAAGTGCTTTTACGAAAGGCAGAGTGTAAGACTCTTGCCAGTCATCTCCTATCTGTGCCATCACCCCTTATAAGTGCCACCCAGTCCCAGAGAGACAATCCTGATTTTTATTACTTAGTTTATGCAATAGAAATACAACAACAAAACACCTGGAAATATACTACAAAAATTCCAAGCAAAAGGAAAGAATTCAAACTAAAAAATACAGACAACCCAAATTAGAAAATGAGTTAAGAAATAAATAAAAAAACCCAATCTAAAATAACATTTCAAAGAACATTGTATTTCTAAAGCTCTCCCTCATAATTTTATTCTCCTTCTTTTGAACAAAAAACATTAATAATTTAAGTTTTTGGTCACAGCAGATAACCAGTTTATTAAGTTATTTTTCAATTATATGATATTTTACTCTAGAAATACACCAAAAAATACTTCTTTTTTGTTTTATCTACCAATTTCTTGAGAGTTAAAACTGAAAAGCTGCTGAAAAGATCACTCACAAAGTCAAAGAAAGTGTCCATACTCACCAGCAACACCACTGTCTGATTTTTCTTCTGATTGGCCTTCTGGAAAAAAAATAAAACAAATAAACAAAAAGAGAAATCATAATGTTTCTATACTGATTATTTGAAATTGCATCTACAAGACAGGTTGCAAAGCAAATAATGATAAGTTATGGCAAGAATTACCAGCACTGGATTTGATTAACACTCATAAACTCATCTTCTGAAGAATTATTTGCCACCAGGAACGGCAAAACCAAAAAGTCCTTTAGTGCCCAAATTCACAACTTAAGTGAGAGAATTCCATTAAACTCTGAGCTCTGCAAGAATGAGTTACATGTTCATACAGCATCAGTAGTAGGATTATGCTTAACCAACACACAGTAGTCATTTATCTCACTGGTCACTCTAGACAAACAAGTATTATTTTCTCATGCTCTTAAATGGCATCAGGTATATTTTTTAACTTGAGCAACCTCTTCTCTACCCTTTCTGCAGATCACGCAAGAATTTATTTCTTCAAACTCTTCCCTTTTGATTATTTGCCCTCAAATGGTACTATAGCCCAACATATCAGGTACAATAAACACACAAAATCAGAAACATCTCCTGTTCCACAGAGCAGAGAATCGTAAGTATGTATGAAGGAAAAACTTAAGACACAGTGTTGCAAAGTGACTTGCCACAAAATTATCACAGGGGTGAACGGCAGAGTCGGATTCAGAAACAGCTTTCTGCAAGAAATTCCAATTCCATGTTTCAAGAAATGGCAGACTGAGTTCTAACACTTACCCAGTCCTATGAAATTAAACCCCTACATAAATTTATCAATCTCAAATTTGGCCTCTCCTCCAATAATTCTCCCTTTTATGCATCTTCTTAGGCAGACAATAAAAAGAACATTTTCACTTATCTGAAATACAGTTAAAAATGATAAAATGTACTTGCCCTTAGCTTTCAACTCAGACAAGTCACAGCTATCATTACAGGCTATTTACTTGCAGCAAGAGTGAATTACTGCTCTAACTCAGAGAGCAATTTTCGAGTTCAGCCAGTTCGATCATTTCTGCCAGTTACAGCCTGGGTATGAACAGAACCGAAAACACGAAATATTTTACAAAACCTCTTTCTTGACACCGATTCTTGCTGGCTCTCAAGGCTGATGGCCCTCTTTTCTCACTGAGATGGCTAACAACCTGAGGACTAATGCAAATGTAAAAACCAGTATCTCACAGATCCTTCTTGCTTTATACCAGGTGGCTGTCCTCAGCCTCAGCAGCTGAAGGCACCTGCTTTCTTGATGAGAAACCATCACTATATGGCCTAGCTACGAGTATTCACAGAGTAAAGACCCCTGCCAACCTTCAGATAAACATGCAGGATAGCCTGTTTGCAGAAAAACATGTGTTTCTCATTGACACTACTGTTTTGTGCACATTTAGCTCATTTACAGCACAATGTTATTACCCAACCAATACCCTAACTCAGTTGTAACTTAATTACGGAAACATTCAGTACATGCACAAGAAGCAAAAAAGATGTAATGAAGAATGTGTCTGTCTGGACTGAGATGTAAGATGCAACAGATTTAAGGCTGCTTAGTTTTTAACTGTTTCAATTAAAGAGTTTCTACCTAGCCAAAACTACTGCAAAAGACATCAGACCTGACCATTGCTAATAGCATCTCTGATTCAAATAACAATAAATGCACACCATGTCTATGGGGTGAGTGTGTGTATTTGTTTGTGTGTATCAACAGAATCTGCCCCCAACAGCGGAGACAAAAAAATCAGACAAAATTCAAGCCTTGCAAAAAACTGGCATTTTTCTTTCTCATCATTAGACGATTCAGCTTTGTTATCGTTAGGTCACAAGTCTCTGCTTTAAAAATCTTCTCAACACTCATACCACAAAGAAGGTAAAGGAAGTAGTACTAAGTCTACTGAATACATCTGAATAATGCAGACTACAGCTGCTCAGTCTCCTTCACAACTTGCAGGAGTCACAGAAAAAGGTCAACAGGCTGGGGTTAGTTAGTTGGGGGATTTTTGGTGGTGGGGTTTTTGTTGTTGTTGTGTTGGTATGGTGGTAGGGTGTTGGGGTATTGGGTTTTTTACAGATACATCAGTGAGACTGAAAAAACCAAAGATATTTTAATAACAAAGTAGGCAGAATGACTATTCCCATCACACTGAGCCCATTCTAACACACCACATATTTTGTGTTATATCCTCAATTGTTTAAATTTGTACAGGAATTAACAGTCTATAGTTGAAGTAACAAAAATTATAATAAAATTAGGAGCTTACCCCTGCTAGCCAGCTGAACCCACGTCACAGTAATTTGTTAATCCTCTGACACTCATATGAAGTAATTAAACAAATATTATTTCCTTTTTTAAAGATAGAAAAGGGCTGTGGTACAAACAATTGTAGGTGCTTTCTAAATGGATTCTATGTCACAATAATGCATACAAAATGTGGATCCATCAAAATGCTGTCTGTAATTAGACTAGCTTGAGTCACACATTCTGCTTTTCTGATCAAGGGTTTCATCCTCTTTATGATCCTCACAGGTACCTGGAAATTTGCATAAATGCCAGAGACCTGAAAGGTTGCTCTTGCTTCTATTTATTTTAATCGTGAGGCTGCTGATAGGTTTTCTGCTTCTGCTAACAGTCCATAAAAGACTTAAGTACGTAAGGGAACAAAGAAGCACTAAGTAAGATCCCAAAGCCTTTTGGAGACTGGAATACATGGTTAAGTGACAGCCTGAACAGAGACAACTGGAAAATACTGTTAAAGTAGACGGGTATATATCAAAACTCCTCAGCAGGCAGCACTAAGGCAGCAATATGGTGAGGGAGGGTGTTTATTTCCTAAATAACAGTTTGATGAGGAATTTGAGAATTCAAACACTCATCCAGTAAGGGTGGAAGTAGTATTACAAGGCATCGAGATACTGAGCACCATGTATTTTACCGGAAATAATGACACGTAATTAAAGAAGTAACTGCTTCAATGAAAGAAAGATTTTTCTTCCTTCCACATTTCTTTGATGGCTGGATATATGCAATATTTCAAAATACATATATATATAAAATACCGAATAAAAACCTCTGAATATTCACTTTCACTGGGATATAAATGTGCATGTTATACAGTAGGCAAGATTCATGTGCAAACTCAGAAAAGGTGTTATCATGTATGAGAAGCTGTACAAAGGAAAGAAAAACAACAACCCGAACCAAGGGGAGAATTTTCAAGGAATGTGGAAACAAAGGAGCTGTTCTAAGGTCTATAGGCAGAGTTGTGTGCATTATTGAACAGAATACAAACTGAATGTCATGAGCTGAGTTTCTGAAAGCAGAGAAGGCTCAGAAAACTGGAGAAAAACACAATGTTAAGAGCCAGCAATGTTCTGTGAAGCATGAAACAGTGAGACAATCCATGCATGCATGCTGCTTGGAAACAAAGCTCTGGTAGTTACTCTGTCAATGGAATTCTCTGAACACCTTTTACTTTCAGTAAGATGAAATGAGCATGAAAGAATTTAAAGATGCTAAAACAGACATTAAGGCAATCCCACTTTTGAAGGGGGAGTTGTGAAGATATATTCAAAAATTGAATAAAATGAATCATCACACTCAACTTTACAGAAATATCTTCCACTTTATTTGTACCTACAGTGTAAAACCTTCTTCTCCACCTATCAGTCCTTTCCAGTTTGGGATGCAATTGCCTGCCAAGCTCTGTTTTTTCCCCAGTCACATTAGTAGCGCATTTTTCCAAAAACCAGCTCAGTAAGAAATTTTAATCATTACCTATGACAAGCCTACATTTTTTATTTATATTTACATCCAGAAAACCTAAACTATCTGCTGGCAGAAAAATCAAGCATCAGACAATTAAAGCAGTAAGGGAAGTAATTTAGAATTAATCAGGTAAATTTGCTGCTAAATGTTTAACAAATGCATCTTCCCATTCCTTCAACCAAGAAGGAAACTCTTAAATTATAACACTTATCTTATGCTAGGGTGTCTGCCACTCAGAAGCTCAGAAAACAAAGAATTTTAACCAGACATACCCTATATCAGGCCCATGAATTGCCCCTAGATAGTTTCTAGCTATAAACATGTAAGAAAATTTCATTTTGTTTAATTCAACACATTAAAATATATGCAAAATGCTCTTCTTTTCACCCACCCAAAAAATTACAGCTATGATAGCTGATGACAAAGATAAGACAAAATGACTGGAAGCACAAATAGCATTGTTGCATAGCAACTGTTGATGTACATATGGTGATGTTTATGGAACAGAATGTAGTTCATATTTAATGCAGAAATAATACCGAAACAAGCCTAGACAGCAAGACCCAGACAGCAAGAGACAACTGTGCCTTGGATCCCTCTGCAGACACGACTGAAGCCAGGAAACACTTCCCAACAGCTTTGCTACACTGATGTTCAGGCCTTAGTGATCTGCCCAGCACTGAAGACAATGCAATGTCTCACATGTGCAACAGGATTGCAAAGGAAGTAGGGAGATGTTTTGCAACAACTACTCTCAGAGTACACTGTACTACTCTGTATTATTCACTAGAGTTATTTCAAAATACAGAAACAGGAAAAGAAAACAAACGAGACAAACCCCAGAGTTAGTCTAAAGAGAAGGTGCAGCATGTGTGAAAGCCAGCATAGACGAGCCACTTTATCCAGTTTTATGATACCTCAGATCTACTATGCACATTGCAGAAGACCAAGAAACTGCAGTTCATTAGGCTTTGGACACAATAAATTGCACGTCAAAAGAGCCTACTGCTGTCCATTAACTAGCATGGCACCACCAGAGATGTAGAGGTTTACAAAGAAAAAACCCACAACCAAAAAAACTCCCACCATTCACAAAACAAACCCATCTGCTTTATGTCATTTGCTCCTTTCAGGTAAATTCAGTCCTCATGAAGAGCATTGACTGAGTGCAATAGTGCATGAAGCACGATTTTATCCATATTTCATTTGCATAATTCCTCAAATGCATCCTTCCACATGCATGACATCTGCAGTTCCATGCCAGCTTAATCTTTGGCTCATGGTTCAAACTTACATTTGCTTCTGTCACATGGTGCACTTTGTGAAAGGAAAAGGAACGAGATCACCAATGCTTTTCTGAAAAAATATGCTAATTATAACACGAAGACAAATACTGGTCTGGGAACCTAAGAATGAAGGAATTTCAATTTCCTATGACTGTCTCTTACAGTGGATTGGCTGAAGTGCAAAGATGTGTAAGTTTTTATTGAGTGTTTTTGCATGGTTGATACAACAGGTTTTTCCGTGTCTTTCTGGCATCAAAGAGGGCAGCAGCCTTTCTTTCAGCTGGGACATCCCTACAGCTTCAGCCCACTGTTCAGACACCTATTTTCACACTAGCCGTAAGTCACTATGAAATTTGTTGACACTGGCCATGGAGCTCAAAATATATTGACGATAAACACTCAAACACACACGTGTCGCTACGGGAACATGGTGTCTGTAAGGAATCTGTCTGGAATTTGGAGTATTTGTGTCCCATTCATTTTACAAGCCAAAAACGTCAGGCAAGAAAAGCACAATAAAGGGTTTTTTTTGACTGTACTGTCAACACCAGCTTAAACAAAACAGCAACAGATTTTAGCCATTTTGCACTTAAACCAGTTTCATGAAAACTCACTGATTGCCTGTTATGCTTATCACTAGCAAAACCAATTTTGACAGGGTCTGTGCTTATTCAGTGCTTCACTCCCAACATTTTGCATGTCACTAACTACCCTTTCCTCCCAACTAATACAACAACTCCTACTCAATAGATTCATGGTCCTTGAATAACATTTTCTAGTTGCTAAGAAATGCAAAATTTGTAATTGATTAAATAAAAAAAATCGGACTGGTTCTAAGTCCCTGAGTTTTGAGACACTGGTATTACAGATGATCAAACAGAAATAAATGGGCATCTTCGAGCTACGACACTCTAACAACTTTCGTTCTAGCTGATGACAAATACTCCACTTTCAAGTTAAGTATCTGCACTCACTGCACCTTAACTTACTCCTACAGGTATCTAAAGTGTCTTGGGAAGGAAAATTCCATGGGATTTGTGGCTTTTATTTCTAAATACAACTAAGACAGCAAAGCTACTTGTGCCTTAATATCTCAATGCTTAGTCATTAAAGCTGTAAAATAGATTTTAAAAAGGAGGTGGTCAAACCTACTAGGTATTCTAACTCTGTCCTGTGAGTTGCAATTCTCCTTCCCTCATTTATTTCATAAAGCATCACACTGACATCACAGCAATTCCTTGCCAGCCTATGAGCATCAGAAAATCAGAAGCTGGTCACACTGTAGTTTTATGCCCCGCAGAAGACAGGTATCAAACAATACTAGTATTATTTATCTTCCAGGGACACTAAAGCCTAAGTTCCTGAAACTGCGACACTCTCTGCAAACACCTGCCTTCAGGCTAACAGACACCACCTTCTCTAACATCCAGAACTTGACCACGTAATTCCAGTAGAAAACCTTACAGCACACAGGACTTACAAGCAAGGGGGTCTGCTGAACTTACTGTACAGTATAACACTACCACATCCCTTAAGTCTGACATGCAATTTAGGACATATAATCTTGAATTTCCAAATCACTCAAACAGCTACTGAGCTGAACCACATCAGCAGGCCAAACAGCTGAAATCCAGTGAGAAAAATTATAACCTCACGGCTGCACTGTTTGGTAGTATGTCCTTATTAAGCTTTAAAACACTTAAACAATGCATATCTTTCCAGAAAATGTGCTGAACAGATGTGTCTATTGTTCAAATGCATCTGTGCAACTGGACAGAGGAAAAATCAGCATTCTTATAATACTATATTCACAGCAGAGACCAATTCAAGGAGAAAAAAGATATTAGTTCACCTCAAAAATACATGGGAACACAAAAATATTTTTGCCAGTGAAAACTCTAAAGGGGAATGTACACAATGTGCTGCACTCTGTATTGCACTGCACAATCAGTTCTCTTCAGCAGACCCACAGCTGAAATGCACCTGATAACCCTACCTGGAGAACTTAAATCGGTTGCTCAGTCACATGAGGAAACAGACACATACACAAATTACAGCAGTGTTGTTTATGCACATAACAACAAAACAGAGCCAAAACCTGACTTCTGAGTCTTCTTTTACAGCACTGAGTTTACTGATATCACATATACTGGAATCGTAACAAATAACTTTAATTCTAACTTACCTACTGAAGTTTCTGTGAACACTGTTAAGGTCTGTCCTCCCACACTTTGCAAAAGAAATGGATGTTCCCTTGGTGCACTGACTGAAGTAGGTTTTCCTCCAATATCATTGATGCTTGCAAGCTCTTCATTCAAAGTAAATGACACCTAACAGTCACATTTACCACAGTGTTACTAAACAGAGTCAATCACACAGTTTTACAAGTTAGAGAGAAATATAAAGAGAGAAAACACACATCATATATCACATTTCCATTTCAAAAACATAAAGAGTGGGATAAGAGTCCTTCTATACTGGTATCCTGTTGAAATACAGAATTCAAAGCTTTCATGCACTTAGTAGTTACTCAGCTTTTAAAAAATTATTTATTACTTCCTCCTGAGGTTAGAGAATAATTTAATTTTACTTATTTAAATGTAAGGCATAATAGATTTTTCAGCCACTGCTGAAAAATGTTTCACAGAGTCAGGCGAGTTCCAGAAAAAGTGTTAATGTAACACAACAAATGTTACTAGCCTGGGACTCCTGAGCCACATACAGCCCCGGAGGGTTTAAACGTGGCTCCTTTGCTGTGCTTTGCTCAATGCAGGGACTAAGGAGGTACTGGGGAGGGAGGGCACAGCAAAGGGGATATTTCAGACTAGCAGTGAGTGCTTTCCCTATGTGCTCTGCTTTGCCTTTTGCACTAACATATCTCAGAATGTTTAGAGAGAAAGTCACTACTACAATTGCTTCTTACAGATGGGTAAACAAACTCAGGGAACAGAGAGACCCGATGAAAGTCCCACAATAAATCTATGGGCAGAGCTACAAACAGAATTCTCTCCTGATTCTTGGTATAATGCTCCACTACAGGTGTAACAAAAAACGTGGGATAATAGAAATGAGAATGTTCTAAACAATTTTTAGAATTCAAATTATAAACATTCATAGCCTTTGTAATTAGGAATTACTTACCTCTGTTCTTCCTTGGTTTCTGCAAAAGAAAATATTCAATGTTTAAATATTTAGTAAATATTTAAATATTAAAAACCATTTAATAACATTTCCATAACCTCATTCCTCAAGTTTAGCTATCCTTACAAAAAAGCAAACTCAAATTCTAGTTTTGTTACTCATCTTCACTCCTGAGCTGCTCAATTTTTTTCTACACTGATGCCCAAGAATAAACGGGAAAAGTCAGCAAGTGAGAACAGGAGCAGCAAAACAGCATATGTAAGTTAAAGAAAATTCTGCAATTCTATTTCTTAAACCTAATAAATCTAACATCATGTAATGAGACACAGTGACTCCCCAGTATAATTTTGTACAATTTATATTCTGAACCACTATACAAGCCAAGTAGCATTCAGGTATCAGAGAAATATGCACACTGTTGGCAAGAAACAGGATTATGTATTGTAACAGGTGCAGTATATTCTTATTTTACTGCAGGTAACTTCTTTTAAGAAATGCAACCAGTAAAGGTACAGTAAACAACTTACTTAGCAATCCTTAGTTTTCCCACTTCACCTCTTCCTGAAGCTTTATTCCACTGTTGTGACAAGTATTTGGGGACCTAGGAAAAGAAGACAGATTTCAAGAAAGGCAGATTTTAAATTTCTTAGCTCATGTCCAGCCTCTTATCCACAATCATCCCAAAGTCCCTTCTCAGCAGGGCTGCTCTCAGCCCCTTCATCTCTCAGTCTGTGTTGATATTGGGGGTTGCCCCAACCCAAGTGCAGGACCTTGTACTCAGCCTTGTTCAACTTCATGAGGTTCATGTGAGCCCACTTCTCAGGCTGTTAAATATATATATATTCCATTAGGGAGAGCAAAGAGAATAATGTAGCACAAAAATAAGGCCACTGTAGAGTCCCAAATGAGGGGAAAATCTTATAACTTGAATCTCAAATACTGTTATCCAATCATGAAAGGCAGAAAAAGATCAGCATCATATTCTTAAACTAAGGATTCTCAATATTTTACCAGACAATACTATACTTTTAAATACTCATTAGAAATTATCATCTCCCTGGGAAAAAAGCCACAAACAAACATGAACCAACCAATCACAGTGATAAAAAGTTAGGCAAATACAACTCAGAGACCAAAAGATGCTTTGAAGAGAAGGCTTACAGTTTAGCAACCTCAGACACGTTGAGCAGCAGACCACAGCCCTACAACACTACAACAGAACTAACATAGGCAAATCTGTCTCCCATCACTCACTCCCACACCTTCACTGTATTGAGAAAAGCCTTTGTGCAGCTAGTCAGTATATAGAAAGAGCAGACTGATCTGGCTGGGTGGTGTGGGGACATCTATATCTCAGCTGCGCTGACTTTGTACTTAGCAGGTGGAACAACCAAACCATCTTCCCAGCTCATTTTCCTTAATGATGCTTAAATGATACATCCAAGGATTAAAAGCTGCTTGAGTGATGATAACTCACCTACACACAAATTCCTTCAGTTACAAAGGTTTTGGTATATGCAGCATTGGGTGACCTGTGCTCACAACAGACATTAAAGGCCTCTGGGAAGCAGCACGTTCTTCAGAACTTTGCAGCAATGTTCTTTACTGGTACATCAAAGTTTATTCTGGCTCACACAGTCCACAGCTACTGAAAACATCTGTGCCCATGGAGCAAAATGGTGTGAGGCGGTCAGAGAGAAAGAGAAATGCATTAAGCCATGACTCTGGCATTTCCAGCTTCAAGCAGCAAAGAAGCACTTTGAAGTCTGATTTTTGCCTTGCATAGAATAAAACTAAGCCAAGTTTCTCTACAGAGGAGGCAAAGAACCTGTTCCGAGAACTTGCTGACAAAGAGCGACCTGTTAACTTCCTAAGGCTCAATTTAACTCTAACCTTGCATTTACCTGTACTTCAAAAACTCCAGAATATATCTTGGAACTGGTGCTTAGCACTTTCCTTTAGATTTATAGCACCCCATGAAGTAGTGTGGAATAGCTAGAAAATCTATCTACATGTCCCCTAACTGCTCAAATGAACTAAAGGTCAGTCCAGGTTCCCATAAAGTACAGACACTGGGTCAAAAATACCACAAATGTGCAACAGAAAGTCATGAATAGGCACAATCTATTGATACGTATTTTTCCAGTTTTCAAAGTAGCAATTTTCTACAGCAGATTCCATGCCAGATCAGATATCATTTTCTTCCTAAAGCCAAGACAAATACTATGATATGTGTTCCAGCTGACTCAACAGAAATATTATTATGTGCTTGCACCTAGTTCTGTATGTAATTTATACAGCCATGTATTCCATATGAGTGGGCGAGGAGTGAAGGACTCTGATGCTGTTAAAATTACTGACTTGCTACATAATGTATTCAGACAGGGAATTTATTCGGATTAAGAGGCTGCAGATCAATCATACTTCTTTCATCTGCATGGGAAACAGTCTCAAAGAGTGCATTTAACCATCTTTCTGCTGGCCTACCTGCAGTCCAGGGCTGTGCAGAGAAAGACAAAGGGTTATGAAGGACTTCTAGCTACCCACAGATACTTCAGATAAAACCAGATAGTTCTCACAAAACCACAGGCTAAACTCTGTAGTGCCACACATATGAGGTAAACAATCACAGGAAAGCTTAAATAGTGTCTTATATGCTGTAGACGTCTTATTTTGCCCCCTTCTTTTAACGTCGGCATAATAAAAGTTTAACTTTTGGAGAACAGTCAGTTTTCAGACTCTTAACACTCTCTGAAATAACATAAGGAAAACAAGAGCAACCTGCCTTTACAGAGCAGAATTTTCCAAGATCCCACAGTGGACAGACCACCTGCCACACCGAAAAGCTACTGAATGTTTTCAAGACAAGTGGCCTTTATTCTGGGATTCATAGGTAAGAATACTCTTTGCTCATGAAAACATACAATTTAATCACTAGAAGAAATCTGACATACTAAGGAGCATCACTTCAAGACCTCTTCACACTGCTGCTTTCCTCTTGCTACTCACATCACACAAACACTCAGGCTCAAGCCCATAAGGCACTCAGCACTTAGGGTATGACACAAGGGCCTCTGCTCCACGCATCTTTCAGCTTATTCACAACTTCCTACCTGCCTGCAGAAGGAAACACACAAGTAGCCCTGCCTGTAACAAACTACTTCCACTTTTCTGCATGAAATTAAATTAGCTCCTTCTCTATATAGTAATCCATATGCAAAAACGTTTACATTAGAAACTGAGTAAGGCTGATGTCAGGTTCTGTTTTCATTTTCCTTTGAACATAAAAAATTATATAAAGATATCATCTTTCTAAATATAGATCAAAGCAGCAGATTAAATAAAAAAACAAACCTGACTACCACACAGGGAACACGAAATTAACAATTCTAACAGCAAACACTAAATGGGCTTCACTTTACTACAAGTACATTATAGTATTTCCCTATCTTAGCTTTCACTGAAAACAGGAAAAAAAATCCAGTTGCTTTCTGAGTTTGTACTAAAGCAACTCACTCTATTTCTGGTACCTCCTTTTACTGCTCATGCTTCTAAAATACTCATCACTACCTTTTCTATTGCCTGCTAAGTAGTCTCCCTGGAATACTTCCTGTGTTAGCACGATGCATGCTAAAAGGAAATCAAATAAGCCAGGTTTTTTATTCCATCAGAATTGATTGCTCTCTCGCTCAAAGGAAGGATAAATTCCACCTCGTTATCCTAACTAGTGAAGATAAAAAGTACAGGAACTGTCATGCCTCTCAGTGTGCTGGAAGTCCTACTAACAATGACAGTTGTTTCCAAGTTCAAATCTAGAGGAAACCGAAGTATAAAATCCTGCAAGTCCCTTGTTATGGTCTGTCAGTGTTAGCAACTTTGTAATAGTTTTTTATTATTATACAAGAAGACAGACAAGTTCAGAACATGTGCATGAAGGACTATGTTAACACTTACTTGGAGGAGTAATACTTAAGCATTCCTTTCAGTCTCGTTTTCTCATTAAACCAGGCAGCTCTCTGTGCCCACAGAGTGGCACACATGAAAGCACACGTGTCCCTGAAAATTCCTGGCTTGCTTCAGGAAACACTAAACTATATCAGACTAATGGGCAAGTAGGTTGTGTCCTGTCTCCAAATGCAGCCAACAGTGGATACTTCAGGAAAAACAGGAAAACATAAGAAGAAAATGTATTTCCCTGGCAAGCTCTTCTCATTTCTGGGATTTTTTAGCAGACTTGGGGCATAGAAGCATATTCATTTTTAATCTCTCAATTCAATTTTCTTGCCTGAATATGACTAATGGTGTTCAAGCTCCTGCAAAGTTTTGACATTCACAACTTCTTATTTAAGCAACAAGTTCCAAAATTGTGCAAACCGGTTTGCTTGCCCTGAGCCTCATCAGATGAGTTAATCTGACACACCTCTAACTCTTGTACTCAAACTGACTCTTTTCTAGTCACCTTTGCCTGTTCATTTCTCCCTTATCCACCTGTGACATCACTTGTTACTTCAGATCTAAGATTTCCAAGTTAATCCTTTTGCCAGACTGAAAGGTAACAACGTGTTTAGGAGTTCCCTCCACAGCCATCACTCCTTGTTCTCAAGACCACTCCTGGTGCTCTCCACTGTACACTTCCCACAATGGTGAGAACGAGATCACAGCTACACAGAGCACACTGGAGAGAGGGAATATTGTGGTGCAATAATATTTTCTGGTTTGTTTCCTGTAACCTTCTGTAATCACATCTGATGTTGACTCTGCTCATTTATTATTTTTATAGTTTCCCACATCTACTGAAAACCTAAACCTCCTCCTGAGTGACAACAACCAGCAGAAACCCAATTGCTGTGTACATATAATCAGGGCAGATTTTTTCTGTGCACATGAGATTAGATTTTTTGGCTCTGAATTTCATCTGCCATTTTATCATCCTGTCACTCAGTATATAATGATATACTTCTGAAGCTTTCTGCTGTCAGCTTTCAGTGATACTGCTCTGGACAAGCTCTGACAACTCGAGCACTATGCAGTGTTCACTGTGGTTTCATGACACCAGACATTCAGGTGCCAGTACCAAAAAGGAAGCCTGATGCAGTGACCTACCCACCAAAAATCCTGCACAGCAAAGCAAGTTAGGAACCGGTGACAGGGCAAGGGGTAACAGGTTCAAATTGAAGGAGGGGAAATTTAGGTCAGATATTAGGAAAAAGATTTTTCCTGTGAGGGTGGTGAGACACTGAACAGGTTGCCCAGGAAGGCAGTGGATGCCCCAACCCTGGCAGTGTTCAAAGCCAGTCTGGATGAGGCCCTGAGCAGCCTGGTCTAGTGTGGAGGTCTCCCTGTCCTAGTTGTGACTAGGACACTAGCCACTTTCAAGTGGCCCTGTCACTTTCAAGGGCCACAATAAGTCCTTTTGGTAGCTCAAGTATGATGGTGTCACACCTCCCTCACCACGCAGGACTATCATTCTTTCGAGCTGATGGCCTAAGCCTGTTCTAAAGGAGGAAGAGCAGGAATCTACTGTTTCTCCCCGGACAGAAACACAGGTCTAGAACAGCAGGGGCACACTCACAGGGGACCTGACGTGGGGCAGGGCACATG